AAATGTCTGCAAGCAAACAACCAAGCTCAGAGAGCACCAAGGACTCTACAGTTCAACCCTGGGCTACATATATTCTCTTCTATTGGATAAAATTTTATGCAGGCCAGTATAAATTCATATAGTGAGTATTTTTCCTTTAGTCTAAATTCAGTGGGAACAATAAGTGAATAACTTGGAATTGGACTAATAAGTAGGAATAATAAGTGAATATTAAATGAAGGCAAAAAAACATTTAATTGCATAATGCTCTGTTGGTATTTATGGTCAGTTTCAATGTGAATGCACTAAAAATTTAGGAGATCAAAAAAACCCAAAAACATAAATGTAGGCAAGATATCAAACTCCAGATGCCAGTTTCTACATATTAGTGCAGAGAACTTGTAAGGCAGAGCACCAACTGCCTAGGACAGTGTTTCTCAAACTTGGCAACTTTAAGATGTATGGATTTCAACTCCCAGAATTCCCCAGCCACATTTAATGAATATATGAGGGTGTCTAAAGCAGCATCAAATATGTTGTATTTCTATCAAGTCTATGTGCATCATCTCTGATTCAGCAAGAAAATTCACTTGCAGAAGCATGTTTATGCCCACACTTCTCTAGTTGTGGGTCAAGCCAAATGATTAACCAAATGCTAATTTCCTGGTACTAAACTTAATAGGTCAGTGGATTACCTTGTTAATCACATCCCTTCGAATAAATAGCTTCTGTCCTACATCTTACTCTTCTTAAGTTTTGACTTAACAAGGAACATTTTGCACTAAGGACCTAAGTATTTCAAAACTGGAACATGTACAATTTGCAACTTTCTGTTCTTTCAGTTGCCATCTCTTTGTAACCATCAAGAGGGCTGGAAACTAATCTTCATGCTTAGAGATGAACAAATATCACACATGCTTTCTCCAGACTCCTCTTCAACCAAAGTTAGATTTGACTAGAAGCCTCCATAAAATAGCATTTCAGTGATATACTATTACAGATTTAGAACTTAGGCATATATTAACCTAATATATTATTATTTATAGATCAGATATATTATTTATAGATCAATACTTATTGTGAGAGTTGTTCAGGATTAAATTACACAATTTAAAGTAGATTCCTACAAACTGAATCTTACCTGGATGATCTCCTTGGTTCAGAATCACAATAGGAAGGACTTGCAAAGGAATGGAGCTGGTGGAACTATCTTGGTGGAAAATCAAGCATGAATACCATCAGCAAATACTGCTCAGGAGTTAATCATAAATAATTATTTAGCTATAAACTGTATCAAGAGGTCTTTTTTTTAATGGGAAGCAATATAAAATGTATTAAATAAAAGAAAACATTGAAGGAAGAGAAAGATAGGAAAAAACAGGAATATATACTGTATGTGTGTATATATTCTCTCTCTCTCTCTCTCTCTCTCTCTCTCTCTCT